CCCAGAATTCCCATTAAATTCCCAGAATTCCCGTTAAATTCCCAGAATTCCCGTTAAATTCCCAGAATTCCCGTTAAATTCCCAGAATTCCCGTTGTTTTCCCGTACCTGCAGCCTCCTGGCCGTGTAGGGTTCCAGAACTTTCCGCAGGTCCCGGACGAGCCCCCGGAGGCTCCTCCCGGCGCGGCCCCGCGGGAACACGAAGGAATGCGGAACCTTCTGGAATTCCAGCTCCGAGCGCGCCCGGGCCCGCGAGCGCTGCAGCCGCTGGCAGCGGCTCTGGAATCGTCCCCGATTAATTAGCCCGGGATAATTAATTAACCCTAATTAACCCAAATTAACCGGGAATGATCCCAAATTATCCGGGGTTAATTATCCCAAATTATCCCGAATATTCCGGGTTAATTAACCCAGATTAACCAGGAATCATCTCAAATTATCCCGGGTTAATTATCCCAAATTAACCCAAGTTATCCCAAGTTAATTAACCCAAATTATCCCAAATATCCCAGGAATGATCCCAAATTATCCCGGGTTAATTAACCCAAATTACCCCAGAATTATCCCAAAATATTCAGGGAATTATCCAGGAATTATCCCGAATATTCCGGGTTAATTAACCAGGAATGATCCCAAATTATCCCGGGTTAATTAACACAAATTATCCCAGGATTAATTAACCCAAATTATCCCAACATTATCAGGGAATTATCCCCAAATTATCCCGAATATCCCGGTTTAATTAACCGGGAATGATCCCAAATTATCCCGGGCTAATTAACCCAAATTATCCCAAAATTATCCCGAAATTATCCTGGAATTATCCCCAAATTATCCCGAATATTCCGGGTTAATTAACCCAAAATTATCCGGGAATTATCCCAAATTATCCCGAATTAATTATCCCGAATTAATTATCCCGGAATTCCCCAAATCCGGCGATTCCCAAACTTTGCCCCCCCCCTCCCCCCGATCCAACTTTTCCCCTCACGATTCCCAAAATTTGGGGAATTTCGGGATCCCCGCCCCTCCCCCACCGTTCCTTTTCCCGCCGCCGCTTCCCGGAGCCCTCCCCATCCCGGTTTTTTCCCGTTTTTCCCGGTTTTTTCCCATTTTTCCCGGTTTTTTTCCCGCCCGACCTTCCCGGGCCTCCCCATCCCGGCTCCTCCACGCGGCCTCCGCTCCTTCCGGTGCGTCACTTCCTGTGCGTTATCCCATCTACGTTACTTCCCTTGCGTCACTTCCCCTACGTCACTTCCTGTGCGTTACCGCCGCTCGTTCCGGCCTCCCAGCGTTTCCCTGAACTCGAGTTCCGCCCCTTCCCCCCCCCCCCAAAAAAAAAATCCCAAAAAATTCCCAAAATTCCCAAAAAATTCCCAAAATTCCCCCCAGGAATCCCGGAACTCCCGGCGCGACAGTGAAGGCCGAGGCGAGGCTGTGGGAGGAGTCCCGGCTTTAATGGAGACCCCTCGAAATTCCCCAAAATCCCCCCAAATCCCCCCAAAATTCCACCGAAATCTCCCAAAATTCCATCAAAATCTCCCCAAAATCCCCTCAAAAAACCCCCAAAAAAAAAACCCCAAAAAATAAGAAAACAAAACCCACCCCAAAATCCCTGATAACCAACCCTCCCGGATTTCACCCCCAAAACCCCCAAATTTTTGGGATTCCTCAACTTGGGATGGCTCAAAGCCACCTGAGGACACCCAAGCTCAGCTGAGACCCCCCAAAACCCAAAACAACCCCAAAAAAACCCCCCAAAAAATCCAAAAAAACCCAAAAAAATCCAAAAAAAATCCAAAAAAAATTCAAAAAAAACCCCAAAAAATCCCAAAAAAATCCCAAAAAATCCATTTTTCTCCCCAAAACCTCGGGGATTTTTGGGGTTCCTCAGACGGGGGTGACGCGGCGGCGGCAGCAGCGGCAGGTGAGGCACCTCAGCGCCGCCAGGCTCAGGTGGAACGCGGGCCCGAGGTCGAAGAGGAGGCGCTGGAAGGTTCTGACCCCCAAATCCCCGCGGGGGTCGGCGAAGCGCAGAGCGAGCAGAGGGGAGTACAGGGGGTTGGTGGGGGTCCGGAATGGGGGGCGGGGGGCGCCGATCACAGCAGCGATGGCCTGGGGGGGACACGGGTCAGGGGGACCCCAAAAATCCCCCCAAAAATTCCACCCCAGATAGCCCAAAACCACCGAAAATCCACCCAGAAATGGTCAAAATGCCCCAAAACTCCACCTAAAAATCTCCCAGAATTTGGGTCTGGGGTCTCCAATCTCTGGGGGGGACACGGGTCAGGGGGACCCCAAAAATCCCCCCAAAAATTCCACCCCAGATAGCCCAAAACCACCGAAAATCCACCCAGAAATGGTCAAAATGCCCCAAAACTCCACCTAAAAATCTCCCAGAATTTGGGTCTGGGGTCTCCAATCTCTGGGGGGGACACGGGTCAGGGGGACCCCAAAAATCCCCAAAAAATTCCACCCCAAATACCCCAAAAAACAAAAAAATCCACTCAGAAATGGTCAAAATGCCCCAAAACTGAGCAAAAAAACCTTGAAATTCCACCCAGGATTTGGGTCTGGGGTCTCCAGTCTCTGGGCGGGGACACGGGTGAGGGGGACCCCAAAAATCCCCCCAAAATTCTACCCCGGGTACCCCAAAAAACCCCAAAAATCTCCAAAACAAAATCCCAAAAATCACCAGAAAAATCCCCCCAGAAAATCCCAAAAAAATTCCCAAAAAAATCCCAAAAAAGTCCCAAAAAAATAAAAAAAAATTCCCCAAAAATCCCAAAAAAGTCCCAAAAAAATAAAAAAAAAAAATCCCAAAAAATCCCAAAATTTCCCCCAAATCCTCACCTGGACAAATTTAGAATTCCAGGTGAGGCTGGGACAGGTGAGCACCAAAATTACCCCAAAAATCACCAAAAAATCACCAAAAAAAATCGCAAAAAAAATCCCAAAAAATCAACAAAAAATCAACAAAAAATCAACAAAAAAATCCCAAAAAATTCCAAAAAAATTCCCAACATTTCCCCCATCCTCACCTGCGCCACCTCCTCGGGGCTCTGGCCGAAGGTGTCGAACACCTGGCGGCTGGCGGGCAGGTAAACCTCGCGGAAATAGCGCAGAGTCTCGGGATCGGTTCCCGGGAATTCCGATTTTTCCACCTCCTGCAGGACCTTGCGCTCGAACTCGGTGTTCACCGGGCCCGGCTCCACCAGAGACACGCTGCGGGAACGGGGGGGGGTTTAATTGGGATTTGATTGGGATTTATTGGGATTTTCTTGGGATTTATTGGGATTTTCTTGGGATTTATTGGGATTTTCTTGGGAATTTTGAAGATTTTTTGGAGATTTTTTGGGGTTTTTTTGAGGATTTATTGGGATTTTATTGGGATTTTATTGGGATTTTTTTGAGGATTTATTGGGATTTTTTTGGAGATTTTTTGGGGGTTTTTTAGGATTTATTGGGATTTTTTGGAGATTTTTTGGGGTTTTTTTGAGGGTTTATTGGGATTTTATTGGGATTTTTTGGGGTTTTTTTGAGGGTTTATTGGGATTTTTTGGGTTTTTTTTGTGAGGATTTATTGGGATTTTATTGGGATTTTTTGGGGTTTTTTTGAGGGTTTATTGGGATTTTTTGGAGATTTTTTGGGGTTTTTTTGAGGATTTATTGGGATTTTATTGGGATTTTTTGGGGGGTTTTTTTGAGGATTTATTGGAATTTTTTGGGTTTTTTTTTTGAGGATTTATTGGGATTTTCTTGGGATTTTATTGGGATTATTTTTGGGTTTTTTTGAGGATTTATTGGGATTTTTTTAGTATTTTTTTAAGGATTTATTGGGATTTTTTTGGAGATTTTTTGGGGGTTTTTTAGGATTTATTGGGATTTTTTGGAGATTTTTTGGGGGTTTTTTTGAGGATTTATTGGGATTTTTTGGAGATTTTTTGGGGTTTTTTTGAGGGTTTATTGGAATTTTTTGGGGTTTTTTTTAGGATTTATTGCGATTTTATTGGGATTTTTTGGGGGTTTTTTTGAGGATTTATTGGGATTTTATTGGGATTTTATTGGGATTTTTTTGGGGGTTTTTTGAGGATTTATTGGGATTTTATTGGGATTTTTTGGGGGTTTTTTTTTGAGGATTTATTGGGATTTTTTGGAGATTTTTTTGGGTTTTTTTGAGGATTTATTGGGATTTTATTGGGATTTTTTGGGGGTTTTTTGAGGATTTATTGGGATTTTATTGGGATTTTTTTGGGGGTTTTTTGAGGATTTATTGCGATTTTATTGGGATTTTTTGGGGGTTTTTTTGAGGATTTATTGGGATTTTTTGGAGATTTTTTGGGGTTTTTTTGAGGATTTATTGCGATTTTATTGGGATTTTTTTGGGGTTTTTTTGAGGGTTTATTGGGATTTTATTGGGATTTTTTAAGGATTTATTGGGATTTCGGGGGGAATTTTTTTTAAGGATTTATTGGGGTTTTTTGGAGATTTTTTGGAGGTTTTTTGGCGATTTTTTTGGCATTTTAGGGGTTTTTATTGGGGTAATTTCAAGGTGATTTTTGGGGTGATTTGGGGGTGATTTGGGGCTGATTTTTTTGCTGATTTTTGGGCTGATTTGGGCTGATTTTTGAGGTGATTTGGGCTGATTTTTGGGGTGATTTGGGGTGATTTTTGGGCTGATTTGGGCGGATTTTGGGGTGATTTGGGGCTGATTTTTTTGCTGATTTTTTTGCTGATTTTTTTGCTGATTTTTGGGGTGATTTGGGCTGATTTTTGGGGTGATTTGGGGGGATTTTTGGAGTGATTTTGGGTGATTTTTGGAGTGATTTTGGGGGATTTTTGGGGTGATTTTTGGGGTGATTTTGGGTGATTTTTGGGGTGATTTTGAGCGATTTTGGGGTCCCCCCGCACTCACAAGACGTTGAACTGCAGCAGCTGCACCGCCAGGCTCTCACACAGCCCCTCCACGGCGAACTTGGAGGCCGAGTAGATGTCGTTGAAAACGACCCCTGGGGGGACCCCAAAATATTTTGGGGAGTCGGGAAAGGATTTGGGGGTCTCAAAACCCCCAAAATTTGGGGTTTGGGGAAGGTTTGGAGCCTCCCAGGGGGGTCCCGGGGGGATTTTGGGGAGCCGTTTTTGGGGTCGGGGAGGTTTAAAAATCAAACCTGGGAGATTTGGGGGAGTTGGGGAGGATTTGGGGGTCTCGATCCCCCCAAAATTTGGGGTCTGGGAGGGGTTTGGGGTCTCGACCCCCCCAAAATTTGGGGTCTGGGAGGGGTTTGGGGTCTCGATCCCCCCCAAAATTTGGGGTCTGGGAGGGGTTTGGGGTCTCGATCCCCCCCAAAATTTGGGGTCTGGGAGGGGTTTGGGGTCTCGATCCCCCCCCAAATTTGGGGTCTGGGAGGGGTTTGGGGTCTCGATCCCCCCCCAAATTTGGGGTCTGGGAGGGGTTTGGGGTCTCGATCCCCCCCAAATTTGGGGTCTGGGAGGGGTTTGGGGTCTCGATCCCCCCCAAAATTTGGCCTCGAGGAGGATTTTAAGGTCCCAAACCCAAATTTTGGGGTCCCAAACCCGAATTTGGGGTTCCCGAGGAGAATTTGGGGTTCCCAAGAAGGATTTCGGGGTCCTCGGAGGATTTGGGGTGGGTTTGGGGTGGATTTGGGGTGGATTTGGGGTGGGTTTGGGGTGGATTTGGGGCTGCCCGCCACCACCGTGTGCCCTCCGTGACGTCCCCAGGGGGGTTTTTTGGGGTCTCAAACCCAAATTTGGGGTTCCCAAGGAGGATTTGGGGTGGATTTGGGGTGGATTTGGGGCAGGTTTGGGGTGGATTTGGGGTGGGTTTGGGGCAGGTTTGGGGTGGATTTGGGGTGGATTTGGGGTGGATTTGGGGCTGCCCGCCACCACCGTGTGCCCTCCGTGACGTCCCCGGGGGGGTTTTTTGGGGTCCCGAAGCCGAATTTGGGGTTCCCGAGGAGGATTTGGGGTCTCACCCTGCAGCCCCATGACGCTGCTGACCACCACGATGTGGCCGCTGCGGCGCCGCTTCATTTGGGGGAGCAGGGCCTGGGCCAGGCGCAGCACCCCGAAGACGTTGGTGTCGAACACGCGCTGCACCTGCGGCCCCGAGGCGCTTTCCAGGGGTCCCACCATCCCCACCCCGGCGTTGTTCACTGCGGGGCCGCGGGGAGAGGGTCGGGGCCAGCCCAAAAAATCCCAAAATCCCCACCAAAATCGGCCCCTGGGGCTCAGAGATGCCCGAATCTTAGAAAATCCCGTTAAATCTGAGCAAAAACCTCCCCAGGAATCCGCTGCAAATCCGGCCTGGGGGGGAGTTAAAGTTCGCTGGTGTGGGTTGTTTGTGAAATGTACTGAAAACCGAGATGAAACTACCCCAAAATCACAAAAAACACCCCCAAAATCCCTGATAACCGACCCAAAACCACCCCAAAACCACCCCAAAATCACAAAAACCACCCCAAAATCCCTGATAACTGACCCAAAACCACCCCAAAATCACAAAAACCACCCCAAAACCACCCCAAAATCACAAAACCCACCCCAAAATCCCTGATAACCAACCCAAAACCACCCCAAAATCACCCCAAAACTCCCCTCAAACCCACTGAAAACTCCCAAAAGCCCCCAAAATCCCTGAAAACTGAGCCAAAACCACCCCAAAATCACAAAACCCACCCCAAAATCCCTGATAACCAACCCAAAACCCATCCCAAAATCCCCAAACCCACCCCAAAACTCCCCAAAATCCCCTCAACCCCACCGAAAACTCCCAAAACCCACCCCAAAATCCCCAATAAACACCCCAAAAAAAACCCAAAACCCCCGGAAATCTCCCCAAAACCCCCCCAAAATCTCAATAACCACCCCAAAAAAATCAAAATCCCCGATAACAGCCCCAAACCCCCCGGAAAGCTCCCCAAAACCCCCCCCCAAAACCCCCCCCCAAAACCCCCCCCCAAAACCCCCCCCCAAAACCCCCCCCCAAAACCCCCCCCCAAAACCCCCCCCCAAAACCCCCCCCCAAAACCCCCCCCCAAAACCCCCCCCCAAAACCCCCCCCCAAAACCCCCCCCCAAAACCCCCCCCCAAAACCCCCCCCCAAAACCCCCCCCCAAAACCCCCCCCCAAAACCCCCCCCCAAAACCCCCCCCCAAAACCCCCCCCCAAAACCCCCCCCCAAAACCCCCCCCCAAAACCCCCCCCAAAATCCCCAATAAACACCCCAAAAAAAACCCAAAACCCCCGGAAATCTCCCAAATCCCCCCCAAATCCCTGCCAATCCCCCCCAAAAAACCCCAAAATTCCCAATAACCACCCCAAAACCACCCCCAAACCCACCAAAAACTCCCCAAACCCACCCCAAAAAACCCCAAAATTCCCAATAACCACCCCAAAAAAATCAAAATCCCCGATAACAGCCCCAAAACCCCCGGAAATCTCCCAAATCCCCCCCAAATCCCTGCCAATCCCCCCCCAAAAAAACCCAAAATTCCC